TTTTCAAAACAATGTTGCAATTTATTAAATAATGTGTCAATATGAATGTTTGATTCATAGAAATAATGACTTTTTGAAAAACAATTTAATGAAATATAAATGAAAAAAAGAGAAAGTCTTACTCCAAATGATAAATTATGTCATTTCTTTTCTCCAGTAAATTTCACGACAAAATGTTTCGGTGATTTGGGATGTTTCTATACCGGTCCTCCTTGGTACCATCCTCTGTACAGACCAATAAGTGTACCACCGCAAGAACTGCAGACGAAGTTTCTGTTGTATACACGCTCCAATAAAGAGGAGCCCTATTATCTGGAACCAACACTTGAATCACTGCTAAAGTCTCCTTTCAAAGATAATTTACCAATAAAAGTACTGGCTCACGGATTGGGAGCTCACCCAGATAAATTTATAGTAAGGAAACTTTGAAATTTTATTATTTTTATTATCTTTACAGATTTTTTTCATAATAAAGTTAGCAGATTTTTAACTTTCTTTTAATTAGTCTATTTAATAAATACAATTAAAAATGGGGCACATTGCAAAACAAATGCAGTAGAAAGCCTCACGATTTTACAATGATATTAATGCATCTTGATGTTAATTACACCATATTCTTGTTCACTTTGAACTGCACTTTCTACCTTCGTTGCCTTGGTAACGATGCGACAGGCAGCAACGCTCTTTTCATTTACGTGGCATGACAAATCAATACATCTGGAGGTACTGGATCGGAGATGGATCGTGCTCTGGTTCAGGTGTAAATTACGATTCGAAGATGGATGGTGTGTGAAAGTACTCTCCCTGTAAAACGGGATGTGACGTACGCATGTTGTCTCCGGTTTATCCTCAAGGATGCTTCCCAGAATGTCCCCAATAGCCAATTGTGCAGCTAAAGATTATATAAATTAATACACCATCCTATCGTGTGCAGTTTTCCAATGAAAAACGGACCACCCCAACAACGTTTGATCTAATGATCGGATCTTCGCGTTCTAGGATTCATTCTTAATAGTAATGCTTATAAAGTACTGCAGTCGATGTTTTTAAATAAACGATAATATGAAATCAGACTCTGAATAAAAATACCTTCTAATTTCTGACTCCCAAAATATAGGGGGTCTACAATCTGGAAAATATGGTCAACATAGTTTGGCCGGAGAAGTAGTTCAAAGTTTGAACCCCTTAATCTTAGTTATATTTTTTGCATATTTCGCTATTTGTTCCAAACTTTCTTAGCGAATTGCTTTAAAAAAAATTCACGCAATTAATAAATTCGTTTATCCCAAGATAATTCCATGCAAGAAATTTCAATTCAGAAGTTCTCCTGATATGGCGGAAAACGCAAAAAAAAAAAAAAAAAAAAAAAAAAAAAAAAAAAAAAAAAAAAAAAAAANAAAAAATTAACATTAATGTGTCCAATGCACTCCTACCCAAGGATTGCACTCCTACCCAAACTATTTGGAAAATATTTCCCAGATAGCGAATATCCTCTGTTTTGTGGGTCAAGAATTCGAATCTATTGAAGAAAATACGAGAATTCAGAAAAAGTGCGTTTTCGAGCATGATTTTGTAGCTTAAAATATTATACGCACTTATAAATCTGCATATTTGAGGTGATCCCCTCGAGAATTCAGAGAAAGTGCGTTTTCGAGCATGATTTTGTAGCTTAAAATATTATACGCACTTATAAATTTGCATATTTGAGGTGATCCCCTCGAGAATTCAGAGAAAGTGCGTTTTCGAGCATGATTTTGTAGCTTAAAATATTATACGCACTTATAAATTTGCATATTTGAGGTGATCCCCTCGAGCCACTAAGATTGAACCTAAAAATCCGATTTTTAGATTAAAAGTTATTCTGGGCAATCAATATTATTTTTCGCGATGAATTCGTTGGATATAATGCAATAAAGGAGCCAGTATAGGCTGTATATGTATAGTCCTGAACACCTTGCAAAAAGAAGAACAATTTATTGGTAGTGAGTTTCACACATCGAGTGAAATACAATATCTTGCAGATAAGAGAAGGTAATTCATACGTCCTTTGTCATAAAATGTTATTAATAAATTGAAATGCTATAAAATTAAGTAATTACAGACAAAATGACATCAAAGTTTCGTTGTTTGCTGAAAGTCATCTAATCTGGTTCAGCCTGACGTTTCCAAAGTTTCTGCAAATCGATACCTACAAGCGACGTCATGCTTAGGTAACTCGTGGCTTTCGTTTATGCCACGATTCAGCAACCAATTAGGTTGTCAGAAATGGCACACGCGTGACATTGCTTACAGGTATAAAATTGATTCAGCGTGAAAAAAATCAAAATTAATAGCTTTTGAAGGACTAAGCCATGCACAACCTCATGATTAGATATTACCATGTAATTTTCGCAGTATTCTTCTCGAGTTTCAAGTACTCAATGATAGAATCTGAGTAAGATTGACGTTATTAATTGAAACTTAATAAAACCAATTAATTAAACTCAAGGTAATTTTACTCGAAACTTCGTTTTCTATGAAAATTTATTTTCTCCATATTTTTAGTAAACATGATTCTCAAATGAAATTTTTTAAAAGTAAAAAAAGAACTGCAACTGAAAAGACGCGTTAAACCGTAGAAAGTCGGGTGCTTACCCAAACAAAACCGCTAAGCAAATATACAAGGGCATGATCACCGAACATAGATCTGCATTGCGTAAACACACTATTCGTGTGTAAGAGTTCCGGTAAAAATGTTATGTAGTAACATTTCTATAAATCACTTTACACTTTATCATGGGAACCAAGCAAGTGGATCCATGCCCTCCCCCCACAACAACACAAGAAGGACAAATAGAACCGAGAGATGAATTACACTTATGCCCTTGGTGGGATTCGAACCCGAGATCTTCCTGGTACAAGATCAACACTTTGACCGACTAATTTTGACACTTTATTTTTGACAGTCCACTCTTCATTCTAGTTCACAATCTCCCACAATGCAATATGATTAAGTTTCCAGTAGGTGAAACATTTTCGTTCATATATTGGGCGTACAAATTAGTTCGGTCCATTTCTTGTGTGATCAAAAATGCATTTATTTCAGAACAAAATGAATGAACAGATTAATCAAAGTATTGTCCATCGCTGGTTACTACTTTTTTCCACCTATCAGGCAATATTCAAATTCCATCTCAAAAAAATGTGTCGTCTTTTGAGGCGATCTAAGTTAGGAGCCAATTTTCGATTTCTGCGAAAAAAGTGAACTGTTGACCTGACAAATCGTGCTGCATCCGCTGGAACAACCAGTAATCAGAAGCAGCAATGTCCAGCGAACACAGCGGGTGCGGTAAAATATCCAACTTGAGCGTTTCCAAATAATTTTTTAAGACTTTTGCGACATCAGGCTGGCCGTTATTAGGCAGAAGAATAACTTTGTCATGTCTTTGCTCGTATTCCGGCCGTTTTTCTCGTAATGCATAGCTCAAACGAATCAATTGTAGCCCATACCGATCGCCCGTAATGGAATCACCAGGTTGTAGCAGCTCATAGTATACAAAACTATTCACCATTCTTCACTCACCATTGGAGCATTGTCACCATATACTTCTACAAGAATTCGGTGCTCTTCAGCTGCACTTTTCTTCCAATTAAAGCAGAAAGATAAAACCTGCCGCAAATGGTGCTACGTTACCAACAACTCAACAAAGTAAAAAAAATAGGGTCTTTGTATGACACTCAAAGCGTTTTGTAGAAACTGAATATTATTGACAGATGTTTAACCTCTCTGAAACCACCGAATAAAGATGTCATTATGAAACATTCATAACAGCAGAGCAATCTCTTAAAGACGAACCGAACTAATTTGTATTCCAAATACTTTAGAGTTCGCGTTTCATTTCAAATATAGTGATTTTGTGACGAAATGATTCAAAAAATTAACTTAATACAGCTCAAGGATTGCTGGATCGTCAGAACTGAGAGTTATGTCTCTGAGAGTTCTAGAATATAGCTGAGAGTTCTCGAATGAACCAAAGGGTTAAAAGTATATTTTGTACAATATTTGCTAGGCAGAAAATTGTACAATTTTTATATTATTTTGCATAAATACAATAGTACCCTGCCTTATAATAAATCCAAATCTTACCAAGTACCCGGAGCAGGTAATGAAACAAATAAAATTTTTGCTGTGTATCCTGAACTGGATAGGGTAAAACTGGATAGGGCTTAATTTCCACCAAATATCAGGCAAAATTTTCGGTTCCTACTCATCGCTTAATTTTAAGTTTTAATTACTTAACATAAGGTATTGACGACGGTATATTTTATGGAGCATAAGTAAGAGGGAGATTGACGTCTAATTTCATGTTTGCGGATAGCTATTTATGACTCGAATACAATCAAAAGTACCGCTTTTTATGGAGAAGATGAGACGGGTTGCTAACTTACAATCCAGCCACTTTTAACGACTCGCTCTCTTTTTTGGAGGCTTTCCACTTGGCAGCAGTTGGATCAAATTATAATGCAAGTTTTTATTTCTGTAAAAATTTGTGACCTAAACTGTAAAAAGAAGTCACGAATCAAGTTATTTACGAAAATGCCAAGCAGAAGAGCGAGTTGCTAAAAGTCACCGGATTGGAAAATCGTAGCCCGTTGCACTTTGAGAATGTAACAGTTCTTTCTCCATTCCTACAGGGTACAATGCAAGAGCTCCTGAAGTATTCCTCTTACAATGTAATCTTAGTCGACTGGTCACGTGAAGCAAGCGGTACTCCACCTCAGGCAACTGCCAACACCAGATTGGTCGGAGCGTATACAGCTAAACTTCTTCTTTTCATAATGGTTTGATATAAGTTGAACATTCATAATGGTTTAGTATAAGATGAATATTATCCATATTTTTTTAATGTCTTTATTTCAACGTATTCAATTCACGAACACTTCTATCTGGAAAAGTTAGAGAAATAAACAAAATCATATATGGGTCATTCTCACGAAAACTGTCATTTTTCAGTTCATAAAATCCCAAAAAAGTGAAGTGAATAAAAAGCTCTGAAACTTTTTATATTAATAGAAATATGTAATGGCATTGTAAAGAAAGTATATGTCCTATAAATTATACTTAATATTTAGATTAATTAATTTTTAAAATAATTAATTTATAATTAATTAATTTATAATAATTAATAATAATTTAATTAATTTAATTAATAAATTAGTTAATTTAATAAATTAACTTATTAATTTTTCAATTTATTTTTCAAATTAATTAATAAGTAAATTAATTATTTTCACTATTTAAAAAGTGAGGGAATGACACTAATAGTGAGGGAATGATATTTTATTTTAATACATGTTTTTATCTAAGTTACATCTACCTAAAGTTTGAAAATGATAACATACTAAGTATATCTAATATTTATTATAATTTAGTCTTATATATTTAATAGTTTTTACAGGTTTGGGAAATAAAATTGGCTGGCACGATTGAACAAAAAAAAATTTAATAATATACTCATCTTGAATCATTCCCTCACTTCAGCGTCATTCCCTCACTTTATACACTAGTGAGGGAATGACGAATTCAATAAAATTTAAAAATAACAGTTAGGCCTAATTAATTTCTGAAGTCAATCACATACAATTATATTCATACAAGAAAGCAACATATAATTATCCACTTTCTCGATGAAGTTGTATTTTATTTTACTCTAAAAAATGACATGAGGGAATGACAAATGTAAAAAATTTTACCTGGTTTGATTCATTCAAATTTATTCCACAGCAAAGCTTCTTTAAGTTGAAGATGGAAACATACTGCAATTTTGTTCTATGATGCCAGTTGTTAACTTCTGAAGTTTTTATTAAAATATTTTTATTCTAAGAAGATTGCAGGTGATAAGAACATTGTTGTGAGGGAATGACGCGAAACACTGGGGACAAAGTTTAAAATAGTGCTGTGTTAATATTTTTATCAGAAATTAAATTTAAAATTGATTTTCTGAATTCTATATTTCAGTATTCTGAAATAAAAAACACGAATTTGTAAAAAAAAAAAATTTATTTCAGAAACAATTTTTTTCTTTTTTTAAATCAGCAGTGGGGACAAGTGAGGGAATGACATATTGGTATATTTTAATTACCTAAAATAAAAAAAAATAAAAAAAAAATGATAATTTTATTTTTATTCTTTTGTTAGCTTGCATTCTGAAGGACACTTTCCCTGAAAATTTTTTTTCGTAAGTTGTAAAACAAACATAAAATATACTGGGGACATGAAAATGACTGTTTTTCTGAGAATGACCCATATATTTAAATTTAATTAAATTATTTTTGATATTATTGAATTTTCTGAGTAGCAGTTGGTTGTAAACACTTTTCTCTATATATTATATTATTGATACGGGACGCTCATTTTTACAAAAAAGTGGATTTTGTCAAATCGCTCTCATTCTTTGGGAGATTTTTTTCTTTCCTGCATAAGAACAGTGCGCCAAACAGAATCGGGCCAATGCCGAAAAACTTTTTATCTAATAATCGTATCTTTACTCCAGAAAACTCAATCTTACAAGACCGAGCGATGACTTCACATATGCTAATTTGTTAGTGCAGACGATATTTTAAGTTACGAATTCAGGCACGAAAACGTACTTTCTCTGACTAAACATACCTTGTTTTCAATGAATTCGGATTTCTGAATTTTACTTTTTACATGTTCCGCTGTATCTCGAGAAATTTTTTAGCCAATGGAAAAACTTTTGCTCACAATTATAAAATTCGTTTATCCAAAGATAAATCCAAGCAAAAAGTTTTTACAATACAACTCAAAATTTTTTCAACTCTTTTTGAATAAAATGAAAAAAATGAATAAATATTTAACAAAATGAATAATAGTTTTATAATTACAATTTTATAATTATAATTATAATTTCAAGAATTAATAATTATTTTATTAATTATAAATAATTTTGTAATTATATAATAAATATTAAACAAAAAAATGAATTGTTTAATTGTATACAAAAATGTTTCAATTCGCTGAAAAAATTCTCGAGGAACAGCGAAATGCGCAAAAAGTAAAATTAACATTTTTGGATCTCACTCCTGACTAAGCTATGAAGATTATACCTCCCAGATTGGAGCTATTCCCTATATTTTGGACATAGAAATCCAAATCCCATGAAAAAAAAAGATATGTTTAATAAGAGAAGTACGTTTTTAGGTTTGTTTTATAACTTAAATTAGTGTCTGTACTAATTAGCATATTGGAAGTCAACCCTCGAATCATTAAGATTGTTCCCGAGAAAGTGAAGATCCGATCATTAGATCAAAAGTTAATAAAATAATATAAGTAACAAAAATAGGTAACATAATTTAACAAAAATAAGTAACGATTTTAAATAACATTTTGAGGAAATCAAAAATTTAGATTAATCTTAATTTTGACGAAAAAATATCTAAGAAAAAATGTTTGTTCTAAATTTAAAAAGCATTAAATTTTAATGTCTAAAACTCTAAAATGTAAGAAAATGTCATACAAAATTCATTGAAATAGCGAATGAAAATATCTAAACACTAAACCAGAAAAACAAAATTCAAAGTTTGCATAGATAAAAAAGAGTTTAAAATTATGTTAATTTCAAAACTATCTTTTTCTAGCAGATTTTTGTAGTAATTTGCAGTGACTTTTACAAAAAGGTTATCGAGTGTTCAAAAGAGAAACCCTCTTCCTATCAGGAAATTGCAATACCTAACTTACATTAGTTTGGAGAAAAAAATCTAGTTAGTTTAGTTGGGTACTGGGAAATTTTGAAATGGGAAATCTAGTTATTTGAGTTTGGAAAAAAAGTTAACTAGAATTTGTAAAATTTTTAAAAAAAAATATGCCAAAAACATCGAAAAAAATTTTTTTTCGAGGAAAAGTTTTAAAAATTTTCAAAAGAAAGTAACGCTTAATTTTGACATTTACGTTACAAACACCTGTACTTGTTTCTCAAAAAAGTTAAGGAAAAACAAGTAAAAGTACTAAATTTAAAAAGTAACAAAGTACAAGTAAAAGTACGTTCCTTTTACTTTTAATTCCGTTACAAATAGCGTGAGTAAATATATTGCCATATATGGCTGTAATATGGTTGCCATGTATGGCAGAATAATTAATTTATCTTATTAATAAGACGTTTTTCAACGATACAAAAGAAGTTGTGTAAATCATTGTTTCTTGTTTCTATACTTATGAAGTCGATATTTTTAAATATTGGAATGGATGGCGTATTTTTCATACTGTATCAAAAGTAAAAACCCGCAGTTGAGGTGTCAAAATTAATATGAATCTTTATTTTTATTCCATGAATACACATTTCATCAGAATAAAAATAGCGGAACTCTAATGATGTTAGATATTCATTTTCTAAAGATAGTTAATTTTTGAAAGCAAGAACCAAATTTATTCACGATCGCTTATTTATTTTTATACGCCAAGAATTGTTTTTATCTAACTAAAAAAACACTAAAGTCAGTGAATATTTTCGAAAATTTTTTCTGAGTCCTAATAAAGAAACAACTTTATTAAAACAATAGATCATACATTTTTCATATTTTAACTTTGTTCCATCATATCATATTTGTTCATATCTTAATTTTTTCACAGATGCACAAGACTTTAACCTAACAGTCTGTATAAGAACATTTATAAAAATATAATTCACTGAATGGCATTATTTTAAATTAGCCCTAGATAAACAATTTTAGCGTAAAGAAATCAAGCGGTATAATAAACTAAGTCTGATTCGAAAAAGAAAGAAAAATCACTGAATTGGCCGTGGAGCCAGTGTTTGCCTAAAGAATACAAGATTCTCTAATAAATTGATTTTTCTAAAACTCACTAAAATGTTAAATAACACATTCTTAAACATAGCACATTATTAACAACCACTGACGAGTTAACTCGTCTTCTCATGCCTAAATGTTGTTGACCTATAACGACTAAACTCGTCTTTGCACTTGCATTATCCACTTCAACTTATGAAATCTAGGACGATATAGAATGTTGTAAAACTTCGCGCATCTTATAGAATGTTTCACTTTACTTCCATATTCAGTTACAAAAATAGCCGGTGGCATGATATAGTTTATGTGAAAAAAATGCCAGTCAACAAAGTGTTAAGTTCATCCTTTCTTTTCGTATAGGAGCATACTGGATTGAAACCAGAAGACATCCATCTGATTGGTCACAGCCTTGGTGGTCACCTGATTAGTTACGTTGGAGAGAGAATTAACAATTTGGGCAGAATCACAGGTAAGGAATTTAAAACTGCTTTAGAAAAGATATTTTGATTCTGTTTAAGAAAGTACTCCAGAAAGACAAAAAAAATAATTAAGAATTGAAACACCTCATAACTGTAAGTGCCCGTGCTAACGTCACCTTGCCAAATGCGATAAAATAGTAAATTTTTGGAATAAAATTGTCTTGGGGTGAAAGTACTGGCGAATGATTTTTTCCATTTGAAAGAAATTAAAATTACGTCAAAATGAATTTTTCTAAACAAATCAGTAATTTTTTATTCTGTCACAGTGCAGATGCGCCGTATAACCAATCAGAATTCTGTCCAAATAATATAAGCCTAACACAAACTACCCTGAAATAGTTTTCTATCGGCAAAAAATTTATTATAAAAATTTGTTAAGATTAGCGTTGAGCGAAGACCTTTGAAAATTGTCGAATACTTTTGCTATTTGGCTAGTTTACTAGCAAGTAATTTGAAATCCTTAGCGTGGGTCCTATTTAGAGAACAGTGACATCACCCTAACAGTGGCATGAAAGCCATGAATTCTGACAAGGAAAAAATTTTACTGGTTTGGACGTGATCTCTTAGGGCAGTGTTTCCCAAAGTGTGGTACGCGTACCCCCAGGGGTACGGGAACAGTTTAGAAGGGGTACTCGTTCTTATGCGAAATATCTTGCAACAAACGAAAATTTCAGAAATTTTTATTTAAAAACAAAGCTAGCCATGAAAATTTACGATGACGTAATTTTCTATTGGTTATTTTTTTGCAGAATCAACAGTTAATAATTTTTGGTGTCAACAGCCAGTTGAGATTTTTCACTTTTGTGCAATTTTTTAGAGTAAAAAATGCATTCATTTTTCTATTAGTGGTATATCGCGCTACGAAAAATTTAGAAAGGGTACACAAAAGTCATAAGTTTGGGAAACACTGTCTTAGGGGAAAGAGCAGGGGCTTCCAACTTACATCAGGCCAAGCGCCACAATTAAAAACACAAATCAAATGGCGGGCTGCAACTTTATCAAAATTTTATGTAGGACTCTTATGTTTGAAGGAACATTAAATATTACTGTCTGATTTTTACCAAGTTGTACAAAACAAAAGTATTGAATTACAAATTAAAATAAGAAGTAGATTTTTAAAAATATTTAATTGCATATTAAGAAATTCGGGCTACAATAACTTTAATGTGCACCCATGTATTAAACAATTAATGTGCAGATATCTAATTGTTAAGATATAAAACTTTAAAAAGGTTGGTATAAAACTTACATAGTAGCGCACAAAATGTTCAATGACAAAATTGAGGTTTGTCTGCTGCAACCACCAGAGAATAGATATTTACATTTTAAATTTAAAATTTACAAATGTGTGTGTAAATATTTTCGCCCAAAATCAGTGGTTTCAAAAAGTTAAATCGGAGAATTTCTTCGAGAAAATTTCTCATACACGCATGCTAAATTATATTCACAAAATACAAAAAAATGAAATAAAAAAAAGCAACATACACGATTAATTTTGTATTTGAATAAATATTTTCTTGGATGCAAAACCTGAGAAATAATTTTTTTTGCACCGTTGGTATGATAAATCTCACAGAAACGAAGAAATTAGGTTTTTATTAACGAGAAAAGTATTTTAAACCTACATACTAATACGAGACAACTAATACGAGACTACTACAACTAATACGAGACAACTGATACTATTACTAATACTAACTCGTATATTTCAGTTTGCGGGCCACAAAAAAAGGCTTTGCGGGCCGCCAGTTGGAAACCACTGGGATAGAGCATTCGCTTTCCAATGAGGTGACTGGGTTCGAATCTAAGTGATGGCGGGGTGATACAAAGTCAGCATTCGGCTTCAACCGATCACAGTACTAACGTAAAATATAAAATATCCGCAGTGGTAGACCTATTATGGGTTAGAGTCGTTCCAGATACGGTTTTTCTCTCCATGTTCACTAAATGCAGTCTTGTTTAATTAAAATAGACCTCCACGAAGAAAAATTTCTCCCAATACTTGATTTAGTATTTCCCTTGTGTTCTGGATTGAGTTCAATCCAGAACACACGAATCCAATTAAAAGGCAACGGAGCTTAACATTAGTAATTGTAAACTCATAAAATTGGGACGTCTGTTCAACGACGGTTATAAAATAAAAAGAAAAAAAAAACATTACTGGTTAGAGTGATTGAAGAGAGAATAAATTCAAAGTTCAGCAACAACGAAAATCCGATTTTTTTTGTCTATTTCCATTGTTTTCTGTGGACAAGACATGGACACCCCACATTAAACTAATTCTCACCACTGTTTCAATGAAAGCAATGTCCTGGTTTGATCATCAAGGCGTCAACGTTTAGGAAAATATATTTGGAAAAAAGTTGCTCTAATAGTTGCTTGCGTCGAAAAATTAGTTTTCATGAGATTTCAAACAGAACAGTTGTTGATATGAAATCTTTGTAATCCTTGTCGAACTGTGCCGACCCGATTTTTGTGTTTGCGTCTACTAATCCTCAATTCTGTAGCCTTATAATTTTGAACTGAATCAAGAAGACAAAGGAACTCCTGGATCAAGTATTAAAAGAAACTTGAGTTCATGAAGGACTTTTCGGTGGAACTAAACCGCATTTGCATCACATGAAAAAGGAAACTACGAAAACCTCCCACGGTGAGTCTGACTGCAAAGGGACTCTAACCCATTATCTGTCTTTCACTGAATATATTTTATGTAAGCACTGTGGTCGGTGGGAGCCGACCAGCCATCGCTGGGATTCGAACACGGTTCACCTCATTGGAAGGCGAATACCCTATCACCTAAGCCACCACCACTCCGTATGAAATCTTCTGACATCGTAAGGAATTGGTGCTGCCATCTAGTGTGGCAGAAACTAGACGTCCAAATTAACATGACCAACGGTATCTCACCCATTGTGGTGGTCCTGAAAGAGTGCATACCACCTCTGGAGAACGCACTAGGTCTGCTTATCGGCAAGACCGATTGTGCAGCTCATTGGAAATAAAAAAAAATCGTAAGGAATTTCTTCAAAAAATGCACAATTTTTAATCGGCCTTCATAGATAGTTCGTAGATAGACCTGGAAAGAACTACTTATCACGTGGCGACTCAGTTTGATAAAAGTGGCGATTTAAATTAAATGAACAGCCAGTCACTTCTTTTTCGATATTTTTCTTTTCAGTTGCTCATCGTACTTTCTAGTTTGGAGAAGTCAATTCAGTATGTTTAACTAAATTTTGTCACATATTCATTGCGTTTTTATGTTTGAATTTACATTTTATAACTGATTATTTCCAATGGAAATTTTTAAGAAAATATAATTTAATCCAAGTAAAGGAAAACCAAAATTGACTATTACGTAAAAAGACCCCATAGGAATCGGTATTGACCTATGGAAAAAGTGACTTAAGTCATTGGGCTTGAGGAAAAAGTGACAACTAAGTTATTAGAGTCTACCGGCCTCCGGTTTCTAACAGAAAATTTAAATTTTTTAGGTCTATTCGTAAGTTTTAAGAAAACTATAAAAATTCCTGCCCTTCTATTGAATTTGTTGTATTTCTATAATTTAATAAATTTTGATAAGATCTGTGCGCTTTATAAATTGATAATTTCATGCATTTTTAAAAACAAAAATTAATAAATTCTTATATTTTAAAATTTGTCAATTTTTTATTTTTCAATTCAGTTTGATGCGTTCACGACCTTTATTAAAACAATTGCTCTTACACTTTCATAAAAATTGGTAACTTCGAACACTTACATAAAATTTTATGACTTGTTTTAATACCTTTTTGTAGGCTTGGATATAGCAGGTCCATACTATGATAATGCACCCAAAGAAGTTCGTTTAGATAGGAGTGATGCTATCTTTGTTGATATTATACAGACGAACCGTGGAAGAAGTTTTTTTGAGGGTAAAGTACCATAAATTCAGATTTCACTTCCTACGTCACATGTAATCCAGAAGTACAAATTAAACCGCTGATGTTTTTCCCCAAATGAGATTTCATTTACCCTGAAAGATTAGATTTTCCCTCCTTGCTTGAGACGAGTTGAGTTGTATTGAAGAAAAGTGAACACGACGTCGAAGAGGAAAATTCGGTTAGGTAGCTCAGGGCTGCCTGTGTTTACATGGGGAAAATATATATTTTTTAAGCAACACCTATCCCAGATAGCGAAATAAGGTTTATTTTCCCTCAGCAAAAACCTTTTAATGTAAACCTAAAATGGGTTTATATGCGGTTTACGTGTAAACCTTCGAATCTTAAAACGAGATCTGTGACAATCTACGCACATTACCCTCATCCAAAACCTTGGAAAACAACCTTCTACCTAACAACCTTAAAACGAGGTTGTCATAGGGTTTTCAAGCGTGAAAAAAAAATCCTTCAATAAAGCTAGTCTTAAGGTGACAACCGTTTTCTATTGAATTCAGGTCTGGAGATCTGAAGGACCCATTAGTCGTGCATCTCAATTGAGAATAATTTAGACAACCGTGCTGGTTAATTCCTCTTCCACGGTTGTTACATGAGCTGGGAAAACGTATTTAAAAAAAACTTAAGTATATAAATAAATGTAATAAAAAATATAGATAATGTAATATATAAATAATGTAAATAAAAAATATATGCAGGTATATGTCGCTTATCCACTTTACAGAGCGTTATATTTACATAGGCATTCATCTTTCGCTAATTTCAGGGATTTGAACTAAACAGTAAAAACCATCCTGCTCTGACCAGAGTTTCCTTGCCTCAGCGATAAATGCGAGTTTGCAACTATTATCTCGAAAGAGCTAGAGGTTACATCTCAAAGTCAAAAGAATAAAGTAACTCGACGTGTATACTAAACCTTAAAATTCCTAATGAATGCTTTAATCATACAAGAATCGATTAAAGGGGATGACGTGATCGAATGATTTTACACAATGTCTAATTTGTATTGATAGTTTTTTTTACGATCACCTTTTTTATGGTGATTTTTTACAAAGTTTTATTATATAGTTGTTTGATATCCATGTACTTAAAACAGTCACTACTGATCCTGGTACCCAATTTCAAAGTGATTTACTCCATTGTTTAGCAAAAATAAACTGTTCTAAAAATGTTGATTGTTTTTCCTATATATCACGTGGTGCTTTCCGTTCCCTACGGTAGATCACTCCCAACAAACAGCGGCCTTGAAATTTTTACTGATGGATCAAGGATGGAGGTTACCGACTCCGCTACTGATACCACAGAATATAGAACTGGCTTCGGCATTGTTACTAAAATGCACGGTACTTTAATCGAGGCAACCTCCACCAGGATCTCAAACAATAGTAGTGTTTACATGGCAGAATTGGTGGCAATTAATAATGCTTTTCTCTGGCTCTCTAAAAAAGAATATCCGGACGTCACTATCTATACTGATTCGCTTTCCTCGTTGCAAGCCTTACAAAACCCAGTATCAAGCTCAAAAATTGTTGAAAACACTAAACAATTATGGCGATCTAATATACTCTGCAATTGGGTTAAAGCTCATATAGGTACTCAAGGCAACGAGGAGGCGGATCGAGCAGCTAAGAAAGCCACCGATCTCTGCCAAGTTGCCCTTGAGGTCCCAAGCTCCAACGCCCAAATTAATACTCAGGTTAAATTATATAGCATGAAGCGCTGGGGGCTGGAATGGCGGAGTTCCGAGAAAGGGAGACAGACATTCAAATTTTTCAAAGACCCAAAATTAAATAGACTACAAGCAAACTTCTATCTCAATCAATTTTTAACAGGCCACGGAGTGTTTGGAGAACACCAATATAAATTATTCCACAAAACTCCAGAATGCAATTACTGTGGTGAATATCAATCTATTCATCACTTGTTAATGAATTGTTCTCAATTCCAGACAATCCGGGGCAATAACTTTAATAATATTGGCCAACATCAATGCTATGCTAACCTGACTTGTAGAAATATCATAAAAAAGATTATTAAACAAACTTTAGAGGATGTATTTGGGGGACGGTCTTTAATGTCTCGGAACTTGTTCCTTCCAGCTTGGGTGTCTCATTTTTTTTACTATCTCTTTTATAAACTCTTCTTCTTTTACTTGCTCCAATTTTATTGTTATTTACTTTTGTACTATTTAATTGGTTTTAAGAGTAATGTTTTTAAATGTTTTACAATATTGTTCTCTTGTAAATTTTGCACGTTTATCTTTCAAATTATTCTTTTAATTGACACTTTTAATATATTGCTGTTTTAATGCTTTTCACCTTACATGATTTTAGCTGTTCTACGCCAGCCATGTTCATGGGCTGTTGCCATGTCTGATGTGTATTTTATGTAATTTATATTTGTACTGTTCTCTGAATTTTTTTTGATTTTAATAAACATTTACCCGTATGCCCTAAATAAGGGCGGGTCGGGGTAAATTCTTCCATATCACGTGGTGCTAAACTATTCTATTATGTATTAATTTCGTTTTTGAAGGTGCTAGCTTAGATGAAATGGTTGGACATGCCGTCTTCTCCCCCAACGGTGGTAATCGTCAACCAGGCTGCCATTACACACCGACCACACGTCGTAAGTTTTCAATTTAATACTTATTGGTTAATCAATTTCATTCTGTTTGGAATTTGTATGATAAGTAGTGAATGAGCCATGTTGGCACATGAGTCAGAGGGTTCGCCTTCCAATGAGGTGACGCGGGTTCAAATCCCAGCAATTTGCTGATCGATACGAATTCCGCCCCAGGCTTGCACCGACCACAGTGATTACGTAAAAATATTCTCAGTGGTAAACGGATCATGGACTAGAGTCCGCTTGCAGTCAGGCTCATCGTAAGAGGTTTTCACCTGGTGTTATTTCAATCATAAAGTCCTCCACGAAGACAAATTTCTCCCAGTATTTGATACAGGGCTGTCCTTGTCTTCTGGAATAGTCTCAAAATTACAAGGCTACGGAGTTGAATATTGATATTGGTGAACTCAGAATTGAATCAACTGTTCGACGACGGTTATTGTTCATTTGCATCCTGACCCGCCCTATTTAAGGGCTTACGAGAGTAGATACATAAAACATCAGAAATTATATCAACAACAGTATAAAAAGAATAAAACACAAGCGACCAACATTTAAAAACATGACTCTAAATCCAGCCAACACATGGAAAATCACAAAGATCATAATTAAAAGAGTAAAAACAATATATACCTACATAAAAGTGAATAAAACATCCATATCGTGCGTGGTAAGATTATTGACGATGGTTATAATTATAGGATGATACATACATGTATTTTGCTTCTTGTTTGCGAACATTTTCCTATATTAACCATTTTAATAATTTCTAGTGAATGTACTCCTCAATTCATAACTTCAAACTTTAGGAAAGTATATTTTCCCTTCAATGCATATAAATTATCTTATGTCTTTAAAGAACCTTTTTATCCACAAACAAACTGAAAAATTATTGAAAGTGTTTATTCCAAAACAATGATGAGTCAATTTTTTTTAAAAAATTTATTTGTAACATGAAAAATGAAGGAAGTGGGGATTCAATTTCTTCATTTGAAAATTATATTTCAGCGAAGGAATTCAATACACTATTTAAAGTGAAAAGTTATATAAAACACATTTGTGTTATTATGTTATATTAAAACATGTTATATTGAAGTTTATTGGTTATCTTATTTGACAGTTAGAAAGAAAAACTACCTTTTAAGCAATTTTTTTTCCAATATCAATATCAATTATTTCCAAGTCACAAGTCAAAAAGACTTAAATGCAAGAAATAAATGTCATCATTTAACTTAGTCACAAATTTGTAACTACTTTCTTATTTTAATTTATTTTACAGTACCGAACCCGTTATCCGGAAATCAGAAAATCAAAAAACCGGAACGAAATTCGATTAGTTTTCCCGCCATTTTCAAAAAAAAATTATTTTTTTTCCTCTAAAGATTTTAGGATTTTTTTGAAAGATGTTTACCTTACCATCATTTTGGAAATAATCATTAGTGTATTACTTCATCGTTTTTTCTTCTTTTCAAGATTATTTTTAATTTTTTTAGTTGGGTTTAACTATAAAAAAACGGCATTTTGTAGCGATTCAGAAAACCGGAAAAATCAGTTATCCGAAATATCGATGGTCCCGATCGTTCCGGATAATCGGTTTCCTACTGTATTTCTTTTTGTTACTTTTATGGCCAATCACAGCCATACAAAAGTATCTTAAATCGGTAGAAAACATAGTTTCTTCCTTAGCTGGTAATGAATGTGGATTAAAAGCTTCTAAGAAAATTTTTAAAAAAAATGTCTGTACGAATATCTAAATTATACTCTGTTGCAAGGTTAAAAAAAACCATTATCCTTATGAGGAGAACCTGTTTGAACTCCAAATATATGCCAAGATCCCAGCTCAAACATATATAAACATTGTCAACTCTAAATTAAAGAATAATAAATGTTGTTTCTTGCAGTCAATTTTCTTCTACAGTGTAAAAAAAGTAAAAATTCTTTATTTTGCATTTCATTTGTTAAGGGTATGTCAGCGTAAGACACACTATTTTTAGTGAACCAATCAAATCCAGTGCTTTTGTAACGTCATATAGTTGTTTCCTTTCCAAGTACGAATGTTCTCCTCATTTATGGAAATATATCGCCGAGTCTAGTATGACTACGAAAAAATAACCCTTTTTTAATAAATCTACGACATATATTGTAAAATATAACGCGTAAAATATAAATATATATATATAAGTTAAAAATGTCGATAAAACAAAGGAAAATAATAAAAAAAATTAAAAATCCGGAAAATTAAAGATATAGTCTTTTCATCAGCCCACACGATTATATACGCAAAAAGAGTGCTTTCTGATATTGTATCAATATAGCCAAAGCAAAATATATCAATACAATAGTGTAAGGAGCAATCAAAAAAATTTTTTTTACAAAAATTAGAACAAATAAAATAGAACACAATAAGTAAAAATAACGCGTAAAAACAGGAAATAATTTAATTTTGCTTTGGCTATATTGATACAATATTAGAAAGCACTCTTTTTTGCGGATATAATCGTGTGGGCTGATGAAAAGATTATATCTTTAATTTTCCGGTTTTTTAAAAAAATTTAATCATTTTTTTCTCCCAGTTGTTTGTTATTTCTTCTAATATTTTCTTCCCCCCCCCCCTTTTTTCCCACATGTCTGTTATTTTCCTTTGTTATATCTTTATTTTGAACTTATCTTATGAGTTCTGTTTACTTGCAACTTATGCACAATAAATGAAACTTATTGTTTTTCTTAATTTTCTTCGTGTTTTTTTGTATTAATTTTGCTATATATATATATAGCAAAATAAATAAATACAAAAAAAAATTAAGAAAAACAATCAAACGCACTTCAGTAAGAACGTACTTTAAAACAGAACTCCTTTGGTTACGCACAATTTGCGCTTTTGTTTTCATATTTTGCAATCTGGCAATCTTGTTACGAAAATATTTTAAATCATTCTTGAAAAATTTCCTGTTCATGTAAGTACATTTGAATTCGCTACTCGCTTTATAGATTATGTTTTATGCTCTTTTTTATTTTATTTTATTTTCTCTTTTTACGTGTTATTTTTATTTATTGTGTTCTATTTTATTTATTTGTTGTAATTTTTGCAAAAAGTTTTTGAGTGCTCCTCACACTACTGTATTGATATATTTTGCTTTGGCTATATTGATACAATATTAGAAAGCACTCCTTTTTGCGGATATAATCGTGTGGGCTGATGAAAAGAATATATTTTTTATTTTCCGGATTTTTAAAAAACAATTTCATTTCTTCGGATTTTCATTATTATTATTATTTTCCAGTTTTTTGTCATTTTTATTTTTCTGTTCATTTTTATTTTTTCATGTGTCTGTAATTTTCCTTTGTTTTATCTTCATTTTGAACTTATATATATACATAATATCAGGGCTACATCCCTGATATTATGGGTAGTATTTAGCTCAAATAATTCAGTCATGAACCAAAATACTTCTTCAATAGTTTTATTTAAACATAGGCTGTTGGTGGTAATAGTTCGCACCCATTTCTCCACACTGGAGGGGGGTGGACAGCACTCTCGGACAATTCCGACATAGTTTTCAGGATCACATCATGTTGAAAGAAACACGCAAAAACTATCGCTCCTGCATTATTTACTAACAGCAAAGGAGGAAAAAAGGCTCAGTCGCTGCATACCTTGTAACCCTACGCATCATAGAAAATCATTTAATGCTTCCTAATATGGAAGTGAAAGAGGGAGAAGATTTTAAAAATAACTCCTCCTTTGAAATATAAATCTAATTATAATTCATTGGTATGTTTTTAGCCTTGAAGTCCCACAATAGAATATCTCTACACCTATTCTTTACCACAGACATTTTATGAAAAGAGTTTTAATGCTTTTATTAATACAAAAGTAATTTCTATAATTTTTGTATTATATATATATCGTAAAAGATTAAATTTGGCTGACGTTTTTAACTTTTAAAAGTTTTTATACTGTTTTCGGAAGCACAGTTGTATAATTTGATAACTAAATAAAACGGAACTATATGCAGTGGTGGATGATTATACCGCAATGATCTTTCCTTAACTTGCCACGGAGTATGATTCACCTTATTCCCGACTGTGTTGCACGTCTTCAACGGTAGGGGGCAGCTTTTTCAACTTTCTGTTGCAGTCTAAGGTAGAAGAATTTCCTCTGATATAAACTAAATTGCGTAAATCCACAACTCAACGATCTGGTAATTGCATATCAATATAGGATAATATCCCAAAGTACTTTTTTTTTCATACCGTCATCTGATATTTTAAAATACGAAGAAAATATTTTTTTGCGAAAATACGACATCAAAATTAAATTTAGAACAACTGAATATTCCAAGTACTTACGTCAATGCTGTGACGTCAGAAGAGGATCTCACGACTTTCGGAAGTTTTTTTTTTCAATATTTTTTATTTGTTTGATATATGGCGAATACAAAAGTTAATCAGAATTTTTTTTTTATTATTCATTTATAGCTCGTGGCTGTTTTGCTCAAACGGTTGGAAAACTATGCAGCCACAGAAAATCTATAGAATATTTTCAGTCTTCCATCAATACTTGTCGCTACACTTCATATGCATGCATCGCCTACCAAGCATTTAGGGAAGATGCCTGTAATCATACTCCATTCACGAACAGGATGGGATTCCACGCTGTCAAACCACCTTATCAGCTCAATTATTTCTTGGACACCACCGGTAAGGCTCCCTACTGTGAAGCCAAATAATTTCTGTAATCCTCTGATTGTTATGTAGCTATGAATCCTCATTAAATTATGAAGTAGATTGCATTTATTTCAGTAGCATTCTTCCTTAATTTATACGGCCAGCTGTCACACCACTAAATCTAAACANTAATCCTCTGATTGTTATGTAGTTATGAATCCTCATTAAATTATGAAGTAGATTGCATTTATTTCAGTAGCATTCTTCCTTAATTTATACGGCCAGCTGTCACACCACTAAATCTAAACAATATTTTGAAAATCTCTGATTATTTTGTCTTTTTGTTCGAAATTCAGAAATCTCAAAGCTGAATCATGAACTTTTGAAAATTAGATAAACAAAAACCAAAAAAAAAAAAAAAAAAAAAAAAAAAAAAAAAAAAAAAAAAAAAAAAAAAAAAAAAAAAAAAAAANCGCCAACAAAATCAATTATTTTTATTTTATGAAATGCCGGATGCTATTTAGGCAAAGTATGAAATAATCGTCCTGATGAGGTTATTATGTAAATGATGTGCATGTTACTGTGAATGACCGAAATCGGTGGTTGTTGACTTTCACCAGTGAATGTTGAAAATCAAATTAGTTGCTTTGGTGAAAGTCCGAAATAGTTATTACATCCGATTTGATATTAATTTATTCGTGGATTGTACCAATTTTAAAAATTAAATAATTATAAATTAAATTAATTGATGTGTACCGATGCTAAATATCTTAAAAGTTAATTAAGGTGATGTTACAATAAATTATATATACAGGAATGGGTTGTAAAATTTGATAGATGTATCCAGTCGATAAAGTTTAATATAATTAAAGAAAAAAAAATGAAAGATTGATTAAATAACAAATTTTGATAATGAATTTGGATCATCATTAATTGATGGAAAGGAAAGGCCGAAAGTGATCGAAAAAAAATAGTGGAAGGACAATTGCTTAAGTGCCACGTGAATTTAACCCAACAGCAAGGGCTCGTGGTCAAAAATAAAATTAAGGGACGACTGAATAACAACTATAAATTTTACATTTGTGCAAATAAACACTGGTCAAAAAAAAAAGGAAAAAAAAGTATGAGAATGTTACTCACCCCGATGAACGTCAAGTTGACATCATTATGTTGTTGTCGATGTAGGACAAAAAAAAATATAGAAATCAAATAAAAAACAAAAAGACAAGTGCATTTCTCGTTCAAAAAAAAAAACAGTTGGTTTATTCATCTCAGTGTACAAGGGATCAACTGAATCGCCTGAGTGAGGATGCGTTGGCACCCCAAGCCACAGCTCAAGCCGGGTGTGACCTTGCTCAACAAAAAAATATTAAAATCATCAAAAGACTCATTTTTTTGAAAGGAAAAAAAATCTTGCCAAATTTGTTTGATAAACACTACGCCTAAAAATTTAAAAAAACATTTTGACAAAAAAAAGGGGGGCTGAAGTCGTGCAAATAACTCATATATATAAAATCACAAAAAAAAAGTTGACGGGGCTCGCTGACCCAAAAGGGCCAGCTTGCCAGACGCAAAAAAAGCGTCACCACAGGAGCAGTGTCCTTCGTGGTACCAAAAACGATAATCATAATAATGGCGTCACTTAAGCGCGGGAAAATGCGAGTTGAACAGCAGGAGAGAGAAACGACTGTGATTGGATGGGGGGATTACTACACGATTAGGTCACCACCAATCAGTGCAAAACAGTACTCCCACACATACAAAAAAAAGGCGTGAACACGCTAAAAATTCTGGAAAATTCTAGAAAAACCAACCGGAAGAATCACTACGTGCAAAACATTTGAAGGTTACTTGAAAGTGATGGGAAAAGTTAAGTGGTGACGTAAATAGAATGTGAGGGAAGAGAATTCGTCCTTGAAGGACAGTGGGGTCAGACGACCTTGAATTGTAAAAGGTGAAAAAGAGAAAGACACAAAAAATGTGTTGCTAACTTAAGAGGAAAAAAGAGACATTTCCAATTCTCTTCACAGAAAAAAATGAAGAGAAATAAAAAAAGGAAAAGTACAAAAAAATTATGAACTATGAAAGATTGAATTAACATTAAATGAAGTTAAATTCCGGACATAAAAAATTGTCACACAACACTGTGACATCAAACAACCAACATTAAACTAAAAAGGGATTAAATTAAAACAATTAGAAAAAAAAAAACGTCACACATCACTGTGACATGGATATAATTACATTTATTCGATATTTTAATACTTACTGACGATAGATTAGAACAAACATCAGTGTCTGGAGTATCGGGCAAATATATACCGGGCAATGGCACTTGACCTTAAAAAAACATCAGTGTAGGGCAGGGGTGGCGAATCTTTATACACCAATGTGCCATTTTCTCTAAAAAATTGCTTAATGAGGTCATAGACGTGCCGTCAAATAATTTTGACTTCGTGATTATTGGGAAAATAATAATGCTAAATACTATCAACTCAAATCTCTTTATTTAGATTGAAAAAAAAAACATTTTGCAATGTCTCAGTTATACAAGTAATTCAACTTAGAGTAACATCAATGTGACTTCTGTTGTTGAAGATTCTGTTGTTGAAGATCAATAACTTATATTAGGTTCTAAGATGTTAGTTTAAGCAGGACTGTTGATTTTTTTTGCTAGTTATTTATTGTTAGCTTGTTTTTTACGGTTCTTAACTGTTTCTTTAGTATTAATTTTTAATTTTTTTATTAATAATTATTTAATAATTTGCTTGTTTTTTGTGAATTTTAATTTAATTGTTACATATGCTTCATAGCATTTGTGTCATAACAATTCATAATGTAACAACAATTGTAATCGGTGGAGTGCTCAAAATATTGTGTCGCGTGCCATTGGTTCGCCATCCCTGGTGTAGGGTATACCGGGCAGTGGCACTTGACCTTAAAAAAACATCAGTGCAGGGTATACCGGGCAGTGTCACTTGACCTTAAAAAAAAACATCAGTGTAGGGTATACCGGGCAGTGGCACTAAAATTTAAAAAACATCAGTGTAGGATTTACCGGGCAAAGGCACTTAACCAGACCTAGTATGACTAGACCTTTGGTAAATGTCCGAAATATATACTAGGTCTAGTGCTACATTTGCTATAGCTTAAATATTTAAAAAAAAAATGAAACAAAGCGTTTGAATCAATTTTAAACTGATAACGAAATTATTGCTTTAAAATTAAAAAAATAAAAACTGCGCCAGATAAGAGTAATTGAAGTAGTTGCTTTATACAGCGCATGTGCGGAAAAATATTTTTAAAAAAATTATCCAGGTGCATTTAAAAGTGGATGAATATCCCAAGACACCGTTTTTTGCACCCGAATCCTCTATTACACATTTCAGGTAGTAGTGCATAGAATTAGTTTCTGGTGTACAATCCAGAGCTCGAGTTCGTTCAAATAATTTTTGCTTTCTGAGGCAAAGGAGAGACTTAGAATGTTCTTTTACGCTACTTGATGTGTAGAGTAGTCACCACCAACCACCCTGTTTTATGCGATAACACTGAAATTCATAATTACAGTAAGATATCATAAACATAAGAACCAGTTCAATAATTTTTGAGAGGCAATATAAAATACGAATCAGTAATTTAGGTTGCAGACACTAATTCTTTAAATAAAATCAATTAGTAAGTCAGACATACACTCAGCACAGAGAGAATATTAAGACAAATTAGAACTAGGCTTAACAGAGCAGGATTGGATTGAAATTATAGATTGCAAATATATTTAATGCAGTTTACAGAAAATAAAGGTAAGAATATTCTTATCGATGGTTGACTATATATAACAAAAACATGCTTCGTAAGACTGGAAGAAATTTTAAAAACTTCCGATGTATCCCTCCGCTAATGTCATGCTGCAGCATTTGAACAGGCTTGATATTCTAGGAAGTAGCTAGCCGTTTTTTGGTGGGTATTATCATAGCAAGCATGCGTAATCTTTCAAATTCATTTGTTGTTTGCTTCGTTGAAAGATCGTGTTATATTGAAAACACTACAAGCATAATAATAGTGGATGGTAAGTTTTTTTTTTAAGCTAAGGCTTAAAAATCAGCCGGAAGTAGTAACCAGGAAGTCTCACGGCGAATTTTAACCCGTAGCGCCATTTGCGTTTAGCTTTACACGGTCAACCACTCATTAAGTGGGATAGCCTGGTTGTTAGAGCACTGGGCCCATGTCCAAGAGTTCGTGCGTTCGATCCCAGACCGGCTGAAGACTCCCCGTGTAGTAAATGGTTATTTTAGGCAAGAATTTTCTTGCTACTTAGGAAAATATAAATGAGGAAAAACAAACTCACATTTCTCACTCTCTTTGCATAAAGATTAAAAGTAGGGAAAAAAGCCGAGTTCACGATAAAAGCTGTGCAGGGGGGTTAGGTGGTGCTCGAGTTGAGTTGATTCCCCTGCTTTAGTTTTGGTTTAGGTACCGAAGATTTCTAAATTCCAGTGGCAACACCTAATTTATTTTTGGTTTCAGTTTCCAAGATTTCTAAATTCCGGTGGCAACACCTAAATCAATTTTAGTTTTGAAACAAGTTACATATCTCCTATTTCTGCCCTCTTGAATGTATGATTTTAGTTTCAATTTTAGTATTATATGCTCAGCGGTGGCAAACCTCATTAGTTTAGATTAGTTATTTAGGGAAGGCAACACTCAATTAGGTTTCGGTTTTTGAAAATATACAGGCGAAATAGGTGGTTCAGTTTTAGCTACGTCATTTATTACCCGTAGCCCCATCTAGTCAATGAAAATAGCTACTAAGTTCTAAATATAAATGTATTTATTGAAGGCGCCCTCTAGTTATTGAAATATTTACTAGTTTTTCAGTTAAAATAGAAAATAAATAAAAATTATAAATAAATAATTAAAGTGTAGTACGACTTTCAGGAGAAGATCTCCAGACACCTGGGAAGTATAATTACGAGGATAAGTCACTTCTAATAGGCTGGGAGTGAAAATGAGTAGTTATTTAATGATCTTAGCTAGGCACAAGTCGGCCAATCTTTTCTCTCTTTCCCTAGTATTAGAGGCAGTCCTAGAGTTTGACACCCCTGCCTACATTAGAGATATCAACATCTTTTGAATAGCTTATACTTTTAAATTTAGAAAGAAAAAAAAGCCATATGCTTCAAAAGAAATGCCTTACATCGACGACTTTTTATTCGCTTAAAATTTTAAAAAAGTGGCCATATGTTTTAAAAGTAATGCCTTACGTTATTAATATCAATATTTTT